AGGAGGAAATTAGGAAGAAGCGCTGTAAGTGGATAGGACACACACTACGAAAAGCGCCTAACTGCGTCACAAGACAAGCCCTCACATGGAACCCTCAAGGCAAAAGGAAAAGAGGAAGGCCAAGGAACACACTACGCCGAGAAATAGAGAAAGATATGAGAGGAGTGAACAAACATTGGACAGAACTGGAAAGGGAAGCCCAGGATAGAGTTGGTTGGAGAAAACTGGTGGGCGGCCTATGCTCCATTGGGGGTAACAGGCATAAGTAAAGTAAAGTAATGTGGATAAAACGACTGTCTTGTATTTCTTGATTTTTAATGAATGTTTTACCAAACACATATCAATGATATAAATCAAACACATAAAGCTGAACTTCTCAAGTTACTGAATAATTATTCCCTTTAACATCACTCACTTTTTACTAATATCACACTCATTATTCTCATTTGAAGATTCAATGGTTGTTTTGTTGTGATTTTCTGATTAGTAAAAACCAAAACAGAAAAAGAAAGAAAATCAATAAAATTGTAGTAGTGTGCATGGAAATTTTTAGTTAATTTTGAAAGTGCTATTTATTGTAGAATGATTGTTGTTGAGGTATTACTAAACAATTAAGTTACATGAAGTAATTTTTACATCTTACTGAACAACTTCTCAGCAAAATGTAACATGTATCTTGTGATTTTTGTGTCTCAATCCTAATCCCCATTAATGTCAATCTGTGGTGAATACCATCCATAAAAATTGAGAACCTCGAAATACTAGACAACCGTTCCATCCTGTTAAGAGAAGACTCATCAGCAGTGCACATCGATGATTTCACGAGTGGGGATCGAACGTAATACCTTCGACCTTGCACGCGAACGCTTACCCCCTAGATAGCTAAGCTGACACCCAATAATAATTGGTGTCTAACTTAAATCGATCCACAATAATGAAGATTTTTCATCTTTTGCAACGGATAACTATCTCCTTCCTGACATGGATTAAACACCACTGCTCATGGACTTCTTACTAGAACTTCAGGTGCATATCACGAAAAACATATGCACCAATTATCTTTTAAAAATTCTATCCAATCACTGATAGTTATCAGATTAAACCATATGCTTGCACAATGATCAATTTTTCATTGTTGTATTTTCATGTCTGAAATCTGTATTGTATATCATATTCTGTTTTATTCGTAAACAGTAACCAGAAGCTCCTCTTCACATATCTTAAATGTATGCTAATTAAGTTCGCTTTTTGTCATAATAGAGTTGGCGTGCTAGACCAAAAAGGCAGAGCATTTGATTCCCACTTACATGATCGTAGATGTGCACTGCTGATGAGTCCCATACTAGGCCGTCTAGTGTTTCCATGTTTCTAACAGTGGTCTAACATTGATCAATTAGTGATTTGAACAGAGAAATGAGAAGACATATTTTGTGAGATAGTACCATTTCGTGCTTTCTCATCAGTCACATACAAACAACATGTTATTTGTGTAAATACAGCCGTTTTGAAGGTAAGGTCAACATTTCTTATTTAGCATGACATTCACTCACTAGAACCATGGTAAGTAAACAAAGGTCAACATACAGTTGTTTTTGAACACCGCATAAAGTTGGACTTTTCCGACCAATCAAGATAGCTTCGAGTAGTTTGAGTGTGTGTGTGGGTTTTGATGACATGTTACACAACTCTATAAAGGCTGATTTTGGGTCAATTTGATGATCACTCATCGTTAGATGTTCTGGTGAGTGAATGTTATGCTAAATAAGAAATTTTGACCTTATCTTCAAAACTGTATTTACACAAATAACATGTTGCTTGTATGTAACTGACGAGAAAGCACGAAATGGTACTATTGTAGTGAACGAGAACACACGTGAGGCAACCGAATTGTATTTAACGAAAATTACAGTTACTCCGCAATTATAAATTAATGTCGATTTTGAGATAAAAATTCTGAAAATTCTCTATCTTTAAACCACTACGCCTAACCTCATATACAGTAGACATATTGAATAGAAGTGGAAACTAATTTCAATTAATTAACAAAACACTGGAATGTATCATTTGCGTAAAACCATATTCTCATTATGAATAGTTCACACGAAGCAGTTTCATGACACTTTAGAGATTGCTAGGCAAAAACATCCACTCTCATTGTTCATTAAAAAAACATCAATAGCGAATTTATTGAAATCATTGAAATCAATCGATCTCAGTTACCCCAATCAAGTCTCCAAGACCGATTCAGTCCAAATCCCACTGTATTTACCAATTCACATGTAACTGCGGAGAAAGTTACTTAGGTAGGACAGATCGCCGATTGGAAGACAGGATAGGGGAACATATTCCAAAATGGTTAATCAAATCCATGATTCATCAACCTAGCCCGTCATCTCAAAATCGATCAAGAAACCCAGCCTCGTCCATTGCAAAACATCTAAAGATAGATGAGTGGTCATCAAATTGACCCAAAATCAGCCTTTATAGAGTTGTGTAACATGTCATCAAAACCCACACACACACTCAAACTACTTAACATGTTGTTTGTATGTGACTGATGAGAAAGCACGAAATGGTACTATCTCACAAAATATGTCTTCTCATTATGTCTGCTCAAATTTATCAAAGCGAACCACTGTTTTGAATTAATTTATCACATTGAAACTGATGACCAAAGCTACACAAAAATCAGCACAATTTCAGTTTATTACAAACTTACGCACATACTAAAATTTCAAGTTTATTACTAATCCCAGAGTGCTTAGTGTTACTGACTTGGTAGACACTAAGCGTTGTCTTCTACGATATCAGACGGATTTTCGACAGCCTACGAAAAAAAGTCAAGTCGACTAAGAGATTTTGCTCTTTATGATGTAATATATGGCTAAGCAATAAAAACTTTCTTTAGATTGTAAGCATACTTGTAAACTGGCTTTAGCTGTACTAAGCTTCCTGTTACGCCTGCATGTAAACACATCAACTTGATATACTTGAACGATTACGAGTTTACCTAGTCGTAAAACGAGAGCGAGGATCGAGGATCCGGTGACACGATATACTACTCAAATCCGTTTATCCCAACCACCATATTTAGTTAAAAATAAGAAGACGTGATCTGAAGTAGAACATGTATTCTACAAGCATCCAGAAAGTACGAGGTCCGAATCCAGAGAGAATCAGGATCCCGGACTAGGGATCCGGGACCGAGCCCTGGTCGTGGTCATAAAACGTTTCAGATAATCCGTATTTATACATTTTGGTCAAATAGGAAACAGCATCGAATTCTGTGACATTGATAGTCAGGATGACCAATAAGAGACAAAATTGAAGCATTTGACTTTGACAGTTAAAACGACCATAATTTTGACCAATAAAAATCGACCAATAATTGTCTTCGGTTATTGGATGAATATCCTAACATTTCCCTGTTTAAAATACCATTATGGTGATTGTTTAGTTCTTAGTTTTTTTTCGAAAGAAATATTTTCATCTGATCATACTTTTAGGAAGGTTTAGAAGTAGATCGACCTTGTAGGATAAAATGTTTTCCTCCATCCTAGAATAGGATTGGTCAAGTGTATAACATATGAAATCACATGATTAGCATAGTTTTGTAAGAATGTTTACCTCTTATGCATTTCAAAATATTTTAATGTACGATGTTTATATGGTTATCTGGAAACACAACACTTTAGATTTTCAGTGAGGTTCAATATAACATTGTCTAGATGATATGACGTATATGACAAAACAATTTTTATTATTAAAGGTGCCTCAGAAAACATTTCATTTTTTTTTGAGATTTGGAAATAGTGAAGATTGTAGATTGTTGAAAAAATACATTGAGGAGAACGTGGAATGTTTGAAATTGCCAATGAAAATAATTTCAAATAGTGTATTGAATTTCAATGGTAAGAGTTTCACAATTTCTGTGAATTAAAGTCATATTCTCACTATTATTTAGCGTCATCTATAACTATCCACTCGTATCCTACTTTATGGCTGTGAAACAGAGTAGGAGATATTTGTAGGTTACTGGTTTTCGATCATAGGTGTCTTCGAAGCATTGCTCGTATATCCTGGGACTGCCGAGTAAGCAATGCTGATGTTAGGAAACTGGTGCTAGGTAAGGATGAAAGATCAGTAGATGAAATATTGAAACTTCATCAGTTGAGGTGGCTGGGACATGTGTTGCGTATGCTTAACCACCGACTGCCTCGACGAGCTTTGTTTTGTGGTGTAGGAGTAGGTTGGAAGAAAGTTAGGGGCGGCTAGACCAAAACATGGCAGAAATTCATGAAGTCATTGATGAGTGGACTGAGTCATGTCAGTATATGTTGACTACCTGGTTGGGGTCCGCGAGATGTTAGAAATCGATGGTTAGACATCCTGAATGACATGGCTCAAAATCGTTTGCAGTGGCGCAGGTGCATTCATTCTTTGTGTTCTCTCAAATCCTAACCTTTTTAATTCTTCATCACTTTGTCTTAATCTTTCTAAGTCTATTTCACTAGATTCTACTTATTGAATAATATCTTCTAATCCTAACCTCTCCGATTACTGCTAATACCTTTACTATCTCTACTACTATTGGATTTGAATTGACAATTACATCTCTGTGCTAATGTGATATGGCAACATGAACTGATGTACGTACGTACGTACGAAGTTCTACGTTCGGATTGATTGACTGATTGGTTGATCAACTCGTATCCATAACTCAATGAATATCATAGATTATAGCTGTCGAAGACATTCCAAAAGTGTTTGAAGTCAGAAAATACCTTGAAGTAATACTTTTAACATAGATTGGGATCCTCACTGCTGACTATTGAATGAAATTTTAAAAAATACATCAAATTAACGTTTGGTTGTTTTCATTTTTCAGAAATCTGTCAATTTTCAACCAGCATTTAAAAGGACAACTTTCAAAACTACATACGCTCTAGTCACGTTAATTGATCTATGAAACGTCAAGAAAAATGGAGTTTGTAACATACGTTGATGAGTTTGCAAATCAATGTGGATTTTGTTCACTGTTCCAGTTTGTGGAATTATTGCAAGCGAATGTTCAGTGTGTTTGGATTTCGGCAATAAATGTTGCTTTTTTACACATGGTTTCTTAATGTTTTTTATTGTATTAGTAGTAGTAGTAGTAGTAGTAGTAGCATCGATCTTTTCAAGGTTCTCATGGATTCTGTCAGGATAAACAAAAAATAACAGTCAAAAAACCAATTACATTTGCAGTTACCAATAATTGGATTACAGCCCAGTAGTCCGATGTTTAGCAGTAGTTGCTGCTAGACATCATCCAGTCTCCATGCTCGGTACATGTCGTTAGCACTACTACACATAGGCTTCATATCAAGAGAAAATAGCTGGTCATCGTTTCCTTTTTTTTTAATGGTACTTAAACTGAAATCAATCCGTCAGGTAAACGTACAACATAACGTATGATACAAAAACTGATTTGACAAGCTATTATGGTCTAATTTTCACCATCAATATTATCAACAATTAAATAGTAGTATCAATAATTTCAGGTAAAATCAAGTTAATGACAATGTAGTGCCGATAATAATGTGATTATGTATACAATGTTTAACTTGTCAACTGTTTTGCTATGATTACTGGGTTCTTAGAATGTTATGTCAAGGACATGGAAGTTACTACACACTAAATCCTGAAAAGCATTCCAACAAGTTGAATGCGTTTTTTAATGTAGAAAAGGTTTATTAATATTAACCAGTTAGTTACTGTAAGCCTTCTACACGCTTGTTGACTTAGAATATGCTGATGACATAGTTCTATTTAATGAAGATGCTGACAAAACGCAGAATCATAAGCAACAATGCAATCATGTTTGAGATATGATTCATAAACCCCCCGCTACCAAATATGAAATGTTGCTTCAAAATTGAACTATGTCAGCACCTGAACGAGTGATAGGCAGTGAAGTAGTTGAGTGTGTTGACCACTACACTTATCTTGAGAGTCTCATCACTGCTGATGGCCTCTATGTATGCCAAAATTTCAGCACGGATACAGAAGGCTCGATTGGCTGTTGCCAACTTGTGTCATCTATGGCGTGGCTGAAATATCTGTCTACCAACTAAAGGTCTATGTGAAACATGGCTAGCAGGAGTAGAAGACATTTTTGGATTTTTATTATTCTATCACAGGATCATAGAAGCATTGCTCTTATATCCTAGGACGATATACTAAGCGATGCTGTCGTCAGGACAGAGGTACTAGATAAGGATGGCAAATCAGTTGATGAAGTAGAGACTCTTTATCAGTTGAGGCAGTTGAGACTTGTGTTACGTATGCTTAACCACTGAATGGCCCGATGAGTGATGTTTTATGGAGTACGGGTAGTTTAGAATAAAGCTCAGGGCACCCAGAGCAAACTTTGGGACAAATCCATGAAGTCACTTACAAGTGGACTGATTCATGTGAGTAGGTGTAGACTACGGAATTGGGGTTCGTGAGACAATCGTAACCGACGGCTAGAGGCCTTAAAAATGACATGGCTCAAAATCGTTTGCAATGGCGTAGGCGCATCAACATTTGCGTTCTCTCAAATGTTAATCTCCTGATTTCCTCATGACCTTCATCTTCATTTACTCTAATTTATTTCATTGGATTATACTTCTTGAATAATATCTTAGATCCCCAGTCTTCTTTATCACTGCTAATACTTCCTCTACTACCTCTACGACTATGCGGTGTGGATGGACAATTGCTTCTCTTTGCTAATGTGGTATGTCAACTTGAACTGATGTACATACGTACGATGTTCTACATTTTAGCTGCATAACTGATTAACCGAATTACTGTGATCCAACTAATAATATAGTGTTTTATGTCTTAAAATTGTAACACAGACTGAATTATATATAACGAAAAGAAGATTCTAAAAATGGTCAAATATCTTTTATATAACAATTAATCATTTTTACCTGTATAATTTATTTTTCTGCTCAATAAATTTAAGTATAAAAGGTTTCGATTCATTCAAACCGAAATCAGTATTTTCATCATCATCATCATCATCCTCAAATCTATGATTGTTAAGTAAATGTGAATTTGTTAAACATTTAAGTTTATTCAAATTGTCTTGTATTCTATAAGTAAGAATTGCTGATTTTAAATTATTATCATAATGAAATTTAGATTTTGAAGCAGATGCACCCAGTTGAGTGTTATCCATTACTGTTGAAGTTGAACTATAAAGTACAATAAAGATAAATCAAATTATTTTGTTAGTGATATTCATTCATTAAAATTTAGTCAAATAAGATAAAACAAAGTCAATATTCTGATCGCACTAATAAATAGTTTTCTTGTGTTCAAAAACATCATTATTACCCAGATGTTCTGGTCACAAATGACCTGAACGATCATGAAGTGTAAATAGTTAAAGTGTGAAAAGATAGCTGTAATCCGCTCTCTAACTGTAATGAATGATTTTACTTATTAGATACAAGTGTTTATTAACAATTGTTTATGCAAAATACTTCGGATTCATTGGCCAGACACCATCAGCAACAACGTGTTGTGGGGAGAGAATAAACCAGATTCCAGTGGAGGAAGAAATCAGGAAGGAGCGGTCGAAGTGGATAGGACACATACTACGAAAAGTACCTAAATGCGTCACAAGACAAGCCCTCACTTGGAACCTTCAAGGCAAAAGGAAAAGAGGAAGGCCAAAGAACACATTACGCCGAGAAAAAGAGAAAGATATGAGAAGAATGAACAAAAATTGGACAGAATTGGGAAGGGAAGCCCAGGACAGAGATGGCTGGAAGAAACTGGTGGGTGGCCTGTGCTCCATTGGGGGTACCAGGCATAAGTAAGTAAGTAAAATCTAGGCGTAGAGTTTCCATTTGATATCCAATCATAAAGTAGTTTATTTCATGTGATCACATACAGACGGTTACATTACTTTCTACTTTTATTTGAATACAAACAAATCTAATCAATAATTGATGATTTACTACTTGACATACACTTTGAACATGAAATAAATTGAACTGGGAAAGGAACTATCATTATTACAAGAGAGTTTGATTGGATCATTTAAACTGGTTTCAGGTAGAAGCACAAATACGCGAAATACAATAAGAGCAATAATAGTAAGAAAAACAAAATCATTCAGTGTTTTATCATGCAGTCATTGTTCAAAAATTCTTATAAAAATTAAATAGATATAAACCACTGTATAAGTGCCTGGAATTCTGTCGAAGCTAGATAGGTGAAGTCTTTCATTTAATTGTCAGGAAGCTGTACATTTCGCCGTAAACAGTAAGCGTACTAATGAGATTAAAAGGGTTAGGAATAGAAGATACAATTCTGGAAGTAAACATGGATTAGCGTTGTTGGCATTTAGCACTTTGTAAACTTATCCCTGACCGTAGCTGCTACCTTGATGTGGTGGCCGGGCTTGACTATCGTGATGACCCAATCGAGCTATATTGGCTGGAACATATGTTCCTGTAAGTTCTACAATGTCAGGCCAGTCGATTGGAGAACAGTGAGATAGAAAGCAGCAACTGGAAGTCTGAGGGCGAAGTTGTACTGGTTAATGTAGAGATATGAGACATTTTTAGGAACGACCTATTTTAAACCCTTCCTTCATTGTAGGAAGGCAGCATCATTGCAGATGCTGGTAGTCAGACAGAAACACCTAACTGTTGTCACACCTCACCTCAGGGATCTCCGCATTCAGCAGTAAAGTCTTTACAACAATTGCAGAGCTCATACTTTAAAAACTTCTCATAAAAAGGCCATGCGTGACCGCCCTAAAGCGGTTGTCCCTTGGGCTCGGCAATCACGCTTCCAGGTTGCTCAGAGCAACGCTAACCCGATTTCCTTTACAGGTTCCGCAAGAAGTACCTTTCCACGGTGTAGGCAGCCGGGAAGGCAAAATCGTCCTCATACCCGTGAAAGCACACGAGACCAACTCTGTCACAATCTAACCTTTCCTTCACCCCTTGACATCTCTCTTATCTCTACGATCAACTCTTCTTTCATTCCTTTACCACCTCGCGTCGCTGATTCAGACCTTTTGCGTCCACGAAACCTAGTTCTCAGACTCCTGAAACTCCGCTCCAAACTACATGTTGCAGCTTTTAATCTTCAAACTTTGTACGAAATGGGACATCAAGCGACTCTAGAATCTCGTACCATCGATGTATGCTGAGTCTCAGAATAGTCCATACAGGATCCCATTAGAATGAATAATTTGACTTCACCTTATTTATATAGGAAATCGGCTCAGTTTGCGCTCTGCGTATCTCGAAGCCCCAAAACTGCTTCCCATGGCCTCGCTGGTGTAGGTATAGTATTATGTCGTAGGGCAGAACTAGCTCGCTGAGATTCAATCCCAGTAGATAGTCGTTTACGTACTGTCCCACTAAAAGGGTTAGTAAGTACTGGAGAAAATAGGGATACTCGCCGTTGCCAATTTTTTGTCTCTGCCTACGCTACCCCTGACTGCACCTCGGACGAGATAAAAGATGAGCTTTAAAGAAACCTATATAACCCTGTTCAAAGATTTAGGTACTCTGATATGGTAATAATATCTGTTGAATTTAATGTTCATGTAGGCAGACAAAGCAAAAAGGAAGGAGTTATGACGGATCAAATAGATCATGATGATCGCCTGCTTCAGAGATGCTCAGATAACCGCCTATTTCTAGAAAATACTAAATTTAAGCCTAAGTAAAACACATTTTGACGTGGCGAACCCCCAAAATCGAACCAACAATGGACCGAACTAGATCACATTGCTATCAGCCATCAGTGGAGAGGCTCAATAGAAGACTTCCGCTCGTTATGGAGCACAAGTTTAGATTCAAATCATGCTCTGGTGTGAGCACGTATTAGTTTGAGGTTTACTGAACGTAGAAAAGACACCGCAAGGGAGCCTCATATGGTTCTAATAGCAAAGATAGGAATATATTTCAGCAAATACTAGAAAAGAAGTTAGGCAGCAAGGTAAGTGTTGTCCACCCTGAGACAGCTTGGAATGTTATCCAGAAAGCTGTAAAAACAATAGTGATATCTGCTATTAAGGTAATCCATAAGGTTAAACAAAAAGAATAGGTTTTGGTAGCATTTACCAGACTGCTAGATGTTCGGAAACTCGTCCGATCTTGCTCTGAACATGACGAAGAGAGTAGTCAGCTTAGGCGTAGGCTGATAAAAAGCCTACGTAATGATCGCGAACAGTGGTGGGTAGCGAAAGTAAGAGAGATAGTAAAGTATTCGGCGATGGATAACAGTAGACAACTGTTTCGCCTTATCAAGGAAACTGGTATTAGGAATCCGACTGTGAGACTATCTCGGAGAAGAATTGGACTAATATTCATTCTCAATTCAGGAGATTAGATCGATGTACAGAACACTTCAGGAATGACTTTATCTGGCCTTCTGTCACACTTGGGTTATCCACGATCTCCAGTACACCTAGATGGAGGATTTGCGTAAATCCTCCAACTGTAAATGAATTTAAAATGGCTATATAAATCTGAAGTGAGGGAGAGTAGTAACCCTTGATACGCTAACCCCTGACATTTTTAAGGATAGTGGAGCAGTTCTAGCAGTTCCATTGACTGAGATCTTAGGTGGAATTCGGGAACTGGTCGTAATTCCATCTCACATGTCTCAATCACTGATTGTCTCAGTCTGATTGCAGAAGATTCTGAGTCATATTACCCAAAGCATTTATTCATTGGTTTAAATTATTCGTGAGGACATGGATCAAGTAATATTTACTTTTATAGATGCCTTAGTTCAACAGCCAATGGCCTGATGGATTGATCCTGTTTCTTGGTTTATGCATTTGTTTTCTCAACCTATTCTTACACCAGAAAACAAAGTAAACTGAGGTAGAAGACAGTTGGGAACATAAACTATACTTCTTAACAGCCTAATGGGATAAAAACATGAGGTGAGAAATTCATGTTTGCATGGCATATATGATTATTATTAGGCACTCATTGAAAATATCTAGGACAAATAAAATTCACAGGAACCACATGGTTTCGAAACATAGACTAGCGGTAACTTATATATAAGGGAAGATAAAACTGTATTATAAACCCATCTTCATGAACTTTAAATCATTTACATTATGAAAAAATACCTGGAGCCCTACCAAAAGAACTAGGATCGAGCGCAATAAAATCAATTAGTTTATATCAGCTCATGAAAACGATATCAGATATTGGATAAATTGTCGAACTCCAATAAAAAGGAGATTGGAGATTCGCGGTCTTATTTAAATTCTGACAGAGAGTTATAATCGAATGGTAGTTAAGCCACTAAACCATACTAATTCTAGTCAGTTAGCAGTCATTTATGATTTAAAATGTCGCGTGATTTCAAGAGTACATTGTCATACTGTTTCGGCCTCAAAACAAGTATACTTAATACAATTTTTACGTGGGTTCAGATGATTTCGAATATAAGGAAGTCATGCAGTATTCAGTCAAATTTCTATTGAAAACTTTCTTAACGATTCCCTATTTTAAAATCATTCGCAGCTCCAGCGACCTTGAGAACCACAGCTACATAGGACCGTATTACATTTTAACCGGTAAAACAAAAGTGAGGCCCAAACTCTGTATCTCATATGCTACATATTTCGAATCATGTGTTGAGAATTTCAGAATGTACATGGTGGATAACACATTCGTTTATCCAGTATAGAACATCTTGCACGTGAGCTAGAATAAAATAGGTTAGTTTCTACGCCCTCGCTTCTTGTTTAAGTACAGTTCCAGATATTTAGTAATTTCCAGAGTATGGTGGCGATGTGACTCGACTTGTCTAACTTCGGTCAGTTGGCAGTTACTTGTTATAATTTTGTCCATTGATATAAGTGTGTATGTCTTAGCAGAGTAATGTTTCTGGATACCAGAAGCTATCGCGGCAAACAGGCCGATCAATTATTGGTAATGTAGAGAATAACAAATAAAAAGTATGATGGCTTAGTAAGAATTAAATGTCTGGGAAACTGGATCATCGCTAATAATATTAGGTCTCATGTCCAATTTCCAATACCTCTTCACGAGCTAGTATAAGTCTACTGATTTCGTTGCGCCCGAACTTTACGATTGCAGGTATTTGGTAGCGACCAGTGGATAGTAGTCTAGCCAATCGACTAAAGAGTCGGCAGTTATTTATGGATCTATGAGTCTCTTA